CTCGAGAGGGGACTTGAGAGGGAACTTGAAAGGTGACTAGAGAGGGGACTTGATAGGGAACTCAAGAGGGGACTCGAGAGGGGACTTGAGAGGGAACTTGAAAGGTGACTAGAGAGGAGACTCGAGAGGGGACTCAAGAAGGAACTGGAGAGGAGACTTGAGAGGGAACTCGAGAGGGGACTTGAGAGGGAACTCGAGAGGAGACTCGAGAGGGAACTTGAGAGGGAACTCGAGAGGGGACTTGAAAGGAAACTTGAGAGGGGACTCGGGTAGGAACTCGAGAGGGGACTTGAAAGGAAACTTGAGAGGGGACTCGGGTAGGAACTGGAGAGGGGACTTGAGAGGGAACTTGTGTCGGTCGGTACGCCGACAGGACACGGGGAGCTGGCGTTGGCTGGAGAGCCAACAAGAGACGAGGTGCTGGAGTCGGCCGGTACACCGACAAGACTCGGGGAGCTGGTGATGGCTGGAGAGCCAACAGGAGACGAGGTGCTGGAGTCGGCCGGTACGCCGACAGGACACGGGGAGTTGGCGTCGGCTGGAGAGCCAGCAGGAGACGAGGTGCTGGAGTCGGCCAGAACTGGGTCTGGAACCATGGCTGCTGGGGCCAGAACAGGGGCCGGAACCATGGCTGCTAGGGCCAGAACTGGGGCTGGAACCATGGCTGCTGGGGCCTGTACTGTAGCCCAAAGCATGGCCTCCGGGGCTCGGGCTGCTAGGTTGGGAGTTGTGAGGCAGGGTGCTAGCATGCCTGGGGCTAGCAGGCCGAGAATCACACACCGAGAGGAAGTCGAAAATCCAGCCAGGTAAGAACTTCACTACCCCTGGCTCCTCCATAGCCATCTGGTGTGCCTCAGCCATAGCTGCCTCTCGCTGCTGAACCCTGTCCGCTCCTATCCATCGATGAGCGCAGACAGACAAAGAAAAGGTAAAATCCAATAGTTCCTGCTCAAACGGAACTGCTGGGCCCATATCTCAGGTCGGTTCGTAAAGTTACGGTGTGTGTAGGATGCAGGACCCAAATGCAGATTAAAGTGACAAAAAACTCCTTTATTTCAAGGCTATACCATTAAATAAAGACTAAACAGAACACTCCTGTTGACGGTCACTGTGCAGTGTTTTACAAGGGCAGAGACATATGGTCATCAGTGAGCTGTGATAAACCACAACAATGGATCTGCCAGAAGAAGGCTTTAACTCTCTCTGTGTAAACAAAGCAGTCATACTAAGAAGGTTACTGCTAACTCTTTGAATTAAGAAAATGAAATACATTTACAGGCCTATAAATGTAAAACTATGGATTATCGTACTTAAATACAAAAATACAAATAAATACAAATTCCAAATATTTAAAGAGATGTTACCTTGTCAAACGAAAAAGGAAATAAATAACATTAATTAAATAAACTTTGCATAAACTCAATACACACAATAATATAATGTGGATTATTATAAAATCAATGTAACTTTTAGTTTGAATTTCTATAGGCTTGCAAAATAAATGCAATTTTTTATTTCCTTGACATATTTATGTTGTTTTTATCAGTCTGGATGGTTACACATGGATTAAGGATCTATTGGATGAGAATGGAGATATGGAAATAATTCACTGAGGTAAGCACTGGCTGTTAATAGAGACTGCAGTTTGCATTCAACGCGGATCACAGCCAGGTAAGCCTTACCGCTGAATGTGCACATATTCACAGCTGTGTGTCTCCACTGTATAACTCCGCTCTGCCGCATGGAAGTCGCGCTGCTCTGTTGATGTGGCCATATAGAAATGTGATGCTTTGAAGGAATTGTCTTCCGATCTTTGAGTGTGTTGCAATCAGACGAACAACCCTGTCTCCTAAAAATTACGTTCCCACAGAACTAAACTGCATTCTCAATTACGTTTAGCTAGAAACGTATTTTCTCCCACGTTACGTTTGTTATGAACGTATCTCAAATACGTTTATTTTCTACATATCTTCTAGAAACATATCTTCTCCCACGTTACGTTCGTTATGAACGTATCTTAAATACGTTTATTTTCTACATATCTTCTAGAAACGTATTTTCTCCCACGTTACGTTCGTTATGAACGTATCTTAAATACGTTTATTTTCTACATATCTTCTAGAAACGTATCTTCTCCCACGTTACGTTCGTTATGAACGTATCTTAAACACGTTTATTTTCTACATATCTTCTAGAAACATATCTTCTCCCACGTTACGTTCGTTATGAACGTATCTTAAATACGTTTATTTTCTACATATCTTCTAGAAACGTATTTTCTCCCACGTTACGTTCGTTATGAACGTATCTTAAATACGTTTATTTTCTACATATCTTTGCCATGTATTGCCTTGCTTATAATAATGATAATAGTCATTTATAAATATCATTTTAGAGCACACATTTGAAATCGAGAATCGGGCTCGATATATGGTTAAATTAAAATCAGTAGGCGAGGCTGTAATTTCGGCAGCTGTTACTCTCATGAGCGAGGCAGAAC